CAGGTCGGGCAGCCCGCCTCCCGAAGCTTCTGGAGGAAAGGCCCCGGGTGTCCCCTGGCATGCCCCATCTCGCGGCACGGTGCGCGGCCGCCGACCGTCGGGAGAAGTTGGGCGGTCCCGGGCGGCCCCGGGGACGAGTGGCCGCGTTTGTGCAGCGGTTGTAAGCAAGATGCGGTAGCACGTGACCTTGGAACGCAGACCCTGATGCTGGTTCCCCGCCACCCGTGTGCGCTTTTCTCTGACCCTTGGCCCCCAGCAGATGCATCACAGGTGAGTAGCTTGGTGGGCCGAGCGCTGGTGACATGTTTGGAAAACATGTAGCAAATAAGACTTCAGAATGCCTTTGTTTTTGGTGCTGTTGGGCAGGTTACGGATTTGTCCGAAGGGGAACAGGAAATCCAGAAGCCAGTATTGGGTTGAATATACTCTCATTAGGCTTGATTTGCGCCACGTGTGAGTAGTTGTTCCGAATAGCCACACGTTGATTATTGACTTGTTGTGCATCTTTATCCTTGCCTTTGAGTTATTTGCGCCTTCAGTTAATATTTGAATCTGAGTTTCAAGGTGTATTTTTAGCTCATTACCATGTTTCTTTCACCTTGAATTTTGCTGGTTACCATCTGGCTTGGCTGGTAATGGAGAGAAATTAAGTTCTTAATTCTTCAGACTTCATGTTAATGTTGAAAGTATTATACCCTACAGTATAGAAGTGTGCCAGAAAAAGTTACATTTGACTGTTTTTTAAGGGCCCTTTCATAGGCTGTTGAGGATAAGGAAGATTAAAAATATTCACTCAAATTACTGAAAATTGTCCATTGCATTTGCAAAGTGGCTGCATTTCAGTTAGGTTCTTATATGTCATTCTAACAAAAAGTTAATAAGGTCAGCAGATGGTTCGTACATGTGTGTTTGTGCTCAGTTGTTTTGGACTCTTTGCAACCCCATGGACTGTAGCCCTCCAGGCTCCTCTTGTCAGTGGAATTCTCTGACAAGAATACTGGAGCAGGTAGCCATTTCCTTCTCCAGGGGATTTTCCCAACCCAGTGATTGAACCCAGGTCTCCTGCACTGCAGGCAGATAGATTCTTTACCATCTGAGCCACCAGGGAAGCCCCATGGGTCATACATAGGTCATGTAAACTAGAGAATATGAAGGGACTGATTCTACAACGAATATACACAGGCAAGAATTGCGAGCTTAGCACAGTATCTTCATTCTGGCCCTTCTCCCAGCATTGCTTCCTAGAATCCCATATAAGAAAAGTAGCTCGGATAGAATTGCACTTTGGAATGAGAGTGTCTTAAGAGGATCATATTGTAAATTCCCTTCATCTGCTTTCTCTCTGTGGGATACTAGTTACCTTTGGTTTATGGCTGCTGAGATCATCACATTTTGGTGACTCACAACAAAGCAGAAATCTGCTGAGCCTCATATTAACTCTGGTTTGAACTGGTTTGAGAAGGCCTAAGAGTCAGCCTAGAAACACCATTTTGATTTTTATCTTGAGATTATGTGCACAGATTAATACTCAGGAATTTTCAGTATAGAGTTTGAAGCTACAGACTTTTAATTGTATGTATGTGAAAGTTGCTCAGTTGTGTCTGACTCTTTGCGACCACATGGGCTGTAGCCTGCCAGACAACTCTGTTCATGGGATTTTCCAGGCAAGAATGCTGGAGTGGGTTGCCATTTCTTTCTCCAGGGATCGAACCTGGGTCTCCTGCATTGCAGGCAGACTTTTTACCATCTGAGCCACCAGGGAAGCTTTTAATTGTACTTCAAAGAATTACTGTAATCATTTTTTTGTAGGTCATTCCTGCTCTACTGATTGTAAAGTTTTAATGTTTGTAGGTATAAAGAGTTACAGAAGTCTGTTTTAAACCACTCCAAACCCAGAAACTTTCAAATTTATGGTAGCTATGGTGTCTTTTGGATGAAGTTTTGCACTTCTTTTATTTATTTTTTTAAATTATGTTTTTAATTGAAGGATAATTGCTTTACAGAATTTTGTTTTCTGTAAAGTCACTTCTTTTATTTTTAATTTTTGTTTTTTGCCTCTCCTCATGGCATACAGAGTCTTAGTTCTGACCAGAAATCAAACCCATGGCCCCTGCAGTAGAAGCACAGAGCCCCGACCTCTAGCCCGCCAGGGAATTCCTACATTCCTTTCCTTTCCCTTCCTTCCTGTGCTGGGTCTTGGTTGCTGCATGCGGGCTCTCTCTAGTTGCAGTGAGCGGGAGCGACTCTGGCTGTGGTGCACCAGCTTCTCCTTGCTGTAGCTGCTCTTGGTGCGGAGCACGGGCTGTAAAGCGTGCAGGCTCAGTAGTTGTGGCACATAGGTTCAGTTGCCCGGCAGCATGTGGAATCTTCGTTGTATGGCATAATTAAATTCAGTTAATGTGCCGTCCCTCATAAGGTGCACCTTGTTTGCTAATGTGATTCTAGTTGTCTTTTTAGTAAGAATGAGTTTGCATTGCTTCATCCAAATCAGAGTGCCTACTCTGTACGGGGTAGTGTCCTCAGTTAGCTTTGTACACTTTATTAAGGTCTGGAAGCTTAAGTTTATGAGATACCTGGCCTGGGTTAAGGTTGAAGTCTGTGAATATGGAATAATGCAGGAGGAATAGGTTTATGTCAGACATTAAGCGTACTCCACTATGTAAACACATAGATCCTAAGTGTTGGAACTGACTGACAAAGGCAAAATGGTTCTTTTATTGTAATTATCTTAGTTAAGAATTTGACTCTCTCAAATTAGGTAAACCTGGATTTAAATGCCAATTCTGTGACTTCTGTAAATTAGGCAGATCTGGAGTTAAATCTGCCACTTACTAGTTAATGTAATTTGGGGTTAAGTTTCTTAGTCTCAGTTTCCTCATCTCTAAAATGGATTAAGAATAATACCTACCTCACAGTAGTTACAAGGATTGTTGTTACTGTTTTAGTCCTTCAGTCTTGTCCAACTCTTTTGAGACCCCATGGACTGTAGCCTGCCAGGCTCCTCTCTCCATGGGATTTCCCAAACAGAATACTGACTGGAATGGTTTGCCATTTCCTTCTCCAGGGGATCTTCCCAACCCAGGGATAGAACCCCTGTCTCCTACATTGCTCGGTGGATTACTTACCACTGAGCCACCAGGGAAGCCCAGTTATAAGGATTAGGTGAGATCATTACATGTTATCACTTAGCCCAGTGTCTAACACCTATAGTAAGGGAGTAATAGTAATCAGTGTTAGTTATTACTATTTTCATGTTGATTCATAGCTGATGTAGCCATTTTTCAGGTTAAAAATCTATTACGTTTTGTTTTCACTGCTAGGGAGTATGTAGATCCTTGGTCCCCTTCCTGTTCTTCACTCCTCCCATGTACTTAGGCACACACATAACACCTTGCATCACTGTGATATTCAATATAAGGATTGGCGGTTCCTGGTGACCTTCTTTGGATAACCTGTTGGCTGGCCTCTTGAAATTGTTTATGATATGGCAGTCTCTAAATTCTTTTTTTTTTGGACAGTCTTTAAATTCTGACGTAGGAACTAATACTTACTGATAACCTCCATAGGGTCTTATTCAGTGTTCCTGTTACTCTAATGATACTGCTAATAGCAGTGCAAGATGGATTGCATAGAAAAGGCAGTTCTTAGATTCTTCAGCTTGCTAAAAATGGTCTGTAGATTTTTAAAAGTTTGATGTATTGAAAAGCTTTTTGACAGTGTTTGGCAGCATGATCTGTGTTCTTCCATTTAATTGCAATGTGATTGGGGGTGTATGATGAGCCCTCTTTGAGCCTAGTTTCCTCGATTTCCTTCTTTTGAAGAATTACTGAGCTAATATGAAGTAATTTTTTAATAAAGTATCTAGCACAGTTTACCTAGTGAACCTTGTTATGCAGAAGATTTTACTAAGATTACTGATTAATTATTAAGGTATCTATATAGAGTGTTAATAAGATGCTGATCCATGGAGAAGATACGGTGCTTCTTCACACTGTTTGCAGTCTAATTCAGGCCCAGTATCACTTTTACCTTCTGGTGAAAAGAGTTATTAAAAATTCTTTGAGTAAGATAAAACAAGTCCTGGTTTCAAGTAATAAACCAGTTGGAGAAACGAGATATTGTGAAAGAAAACAGGTGAATTAAAAACACAAAAACGCCTCTTTGCCAGTGTGCTCTAAGGATTGCAAACTTTGCTATAAATAGCATGCTTAGTATTTGGAGCAAGGCACACCTGAGTTAAATCCTGTTTCTGCTATATGACAGCCAAGTTAACATCTTTGAATCCCAATTTCCTTATCAATAGTATTGGAGAGCTGTGGGCTTAGAAATGAAGTTGTAGTTGATCAAGTTGAATCTCTGCACCACTATTGTTTTAGGTTCTTCGGTACCATAAACAGTCACTGAGGCAATTTTTGCATAACTGGTTGTGTCTAATCTTTCTTAGGATGAATGAAATGAACCTGAGTCCTGTGGGGATGGAGCAGCTGACTTCATCCTCCGTGAGCAATGCCTTGCCGGTCTCAGGGAGTCACCTGGGGTTGGCTGCCTCACCCACTCACAATGCCATCCCTGCTCCAGGTGAGTGGTAAGGGAGAGGGACTGGATTTCAGCACTTGACTGCGTTAGCCCTTCCCAGTGGAGCGGGTCAGAGCCCCTTTCCGAGAGGACGGGAGCAGCCCCGCAGGTCAGTGGCGGCTTCACCTGCGGCAGCAGTCTCGGTGGAGCGCTGAGGCTCCAGCAGGCGATGGGGCAGCAGGCTGTCCTGCTTGTGCCAGTGCCTGCTTGAGTCAGTGCCGTTTCGTCCAGAGCTGTAGTTGACTTGGCGGTTTGTCTAGGATTGCCCTTTTATCTGTTCTTGCCCTTGACATTCTGTCCCTGGGTTATTAGAAGAGAATCAGAGTTACTGTACTAACTCTTCCTAGAACACATGAGAAATTCAGCTTTGTTCTCTATCATGCCTGAAACTGGCACTAACCACAAATGCTCCAGACCTAGAATTATGGCCAAAGAGGAGGTCTCAGAGATGAAGCTCTTACATGGAACCTCCCCCTGAGCCTCAGAACTCGGACAGAATAATAGTGTAGGGAAAGCTCATTTTCCCCCATCACTGTACGTTTAAAACCTTTTTATCTGCCTAGTTGAATTTTTTCTTTCTATTGAAATAGAAAAGAAGCAAGCTCTTGAGTCTTACAGCGGTAAGCTAGTGATTCTTGCGGGTCTCTGACATTGTAATGTATTGGACTCTTTTTATCAAAATAATGAGTTAATGCTTGAGGATATTTTAAATCTGCAAGTTAAATAGTTCTCTCTAGAGAATTACCTGCTTAATTACTAAAATGTAGTGGTTAAATAAGATTCATCTAAATTAGGGTCTCTGTATTCCTTTTAGTGTCCACAAAAGAAATTTTAAAAAAATTAGTTCTTAACTCATTTGTTTATTTCTTAGGCATTCCGTTTAGTAGACACTCTTATTAAGGAGGAAAAACCTGTTTAAAAATACTGCCACTGGCAAAAATAGTGCAAATCTGCACTGCCCAAGTTGGTGAGTTCATTATGATGGGAAGCCACAGGGTCACTTCAGCATTGTGTGGATAGATGTAGTCCAAGGTGGATATAATGTGTAAATTTTTAAAAATCATGAAGTAGAGCATATATGCAAAAGATTATATCAAAATATTTATGTACAGTTTACATCTAACTTTAGGTTTTTTCCCCAAGTAGAAGCATATCTGTGAAATTTTTAAAAGTGATACATTTTCACCATATAAAATGGAAAGTATAATAAAAAATATTTTTAAAAAATCTGTACTGTCACTACTCAGAGACCACTCTGAAGTTTGATATATTTCTTTGAAATTTGGCGTATATTTCTTCCCATTCTTTTTATGTCTAAATAATTTGTTTTCTTAAATTGTATTTAAACTAGGTTTTAAATTGTAGTTAAATGTTTTTGTACCCAAGAGCAATACAGATAACTGAACGATCAAGTTGGCATTTTAAAACTGACTTGCGGACTGAATTTAGGGCTTGTCTGTGGATGTCTGCCAGTACTGTCTATCTGGGGATGTAAAGGGCTACTGGGTGAGATTTTTGCCTGTTGCAAAAACCTTCCTAAGAGTTTAGCCAGTGATTACAGAATTTTAAAGTACTTACTTTTAATTGAGGAAAACAATTTTTTTTTTGTAGGCTTGCCAGTGGCGATTCCAAACCTGGGTCCCTCCCTGAGCTCTCTACCTTCTGCTTTGTCTCTGATGCTCCCAATGGGTATTGGGGATCGAGGGGTGATGTGTGGGTTACCTGAAAGAAACTACACCCTACCTCCACCACCTTACCCCCACCTTGAGAGCAGTTACTTCAGGACCATTCTACCTGGTAAGTGTTATGGTTATTTGGGAATTTACAAGAAATAATACATCCGACCCTTTTTTGTTTTGTTTTAATTATTTATTTAGATACCCCGGGTCTTAGTTGTGGCATTTGGGATCTTCGATCTTTGTCAAGACATGTGGGATCTTCAGGTGCAGCGTGCAAAATCTTAGCTGCACCATGTGGGATTAGTTCCCTAACCAGGGATCAAACACAGGCCTCCCCGCATTGGGAGTGTGGGGTCTTAGCCACAGGACCATCTGGGAAGTCCTTATAGCAGCTGACTGTTAACTTCAGTTCTCGAAGACTTGAATGATGCTTTTTTCTCTTTGTCACTGTTAGATATTAATTTATGTGGGGAAGAAAATTGTATTTATGTACTTCTCCTCTTAGAACATATAGATAACATTATTAATGTAGCACTTTGACTAAGGTTAATTTTTGTTTTTTTTTTTTTTTAGGTTAATTTCTTAATGTCACAGTTTCTCCCTTGTCTCTTCCAGCACCTTCTTGGTTCAGTTTTTATAATTCTCCAATTGTAATTCCTACCAACTACATGTCCTGCTATAGTGTCATTGTTTATTATAAAGTTTACTGAATTTTTATTCTAAAATATTATATACTCATTTCAGAAAATTTAGCAAATAAAGAGGGAGGGGAATTATTCATAGTCCCATTATCCATTTTTGTGGTGTACTTCCATCCTACCTTTTATTTTTGTGGAGGGGTTTTTACTGTTTTCCATAATGAAGACTGTAGTACTTGCAATACAGTTATGTACCCTTTTTTTCACTTAATGTTTTTCTCTATTTTTACATAGTTATTTTCCCCAGCTGCTACATGGTTTTCATAATTATCCTTTTTAATGACACATTATCTTCTACTGATACTTTATTCCATGGTTTATTATATCAGTCTTTATTGATGGGCACTTTTTACCAGTTTGTTTATTACTGTTACGTAAATGTCTTTGGGTATATTATTTACAAAATGCATTTAGGGCCATTTACCATAAGTGGAGTTTCTTAATGCAAGAGGGCATGAATATTTTTGAGGTCTTTATTATATATACTCAATACTTTGCAAAGACGTTTTAGAAATCTGGTCTTCTACTGGAGATGCCGCATGTACCATTTAACCACATAGTCATTAACAGGAATGTTCAAATATTTTTTCTGTTTTAATAAAGCAAGTATAATTGTGACTTATTTTGAATAGAGCCTAATGTTTTCTTGATAGTTTAATAAATAAAAATTTAGTTATATTTAATTAAATTTTATTTTTCACATGGACTATCTGCTTTTAAATGATTTGACCTTTTAACTCTTATAGAGCAAATTTCAGCATCTTAGGACTCAGGAATTCCAACCATGTATATATTATTAAAGGCAGAAATGATTAATTTTCTAGTGACTTCAAAGGAACATAGTTAATTTTTATGATTTCTGAGTTTCACAAAACTGAATTATGGTGTATTATGTTGCTGTTTATAAAGTATATATCAAACCAAAGAAATAGATAGGAGCTTATTTTACTTTAGTTAATTTGTAAGAAAAATAGCTTTTAGCATTTGGAATTCTTAATACACTGAAAAATTCCTGATATCTTATCTTTTCCTTTTCCCAGGCATTTTGTCTTATTTAGCTGACAGACCACCTCCTCAGTATATTCACCCTAACTCCATAAATGTTGATGGTAACACAGCATTATCTATCGCCAATAACCCTTCAGCGCTAGATCCCTATCAGTCCAATGGAAATGTTGGATTAGAACCAGGCATTGTTTCAATAGACTCTCGCTCTGTGAACACACATGGCGCCCAGAGTCTTCATCCCGCTGATGGTCATGAGGTGGCCTTGGACACAACAATCACCATGGAGAACGTCTCTAGGGTCACCAGCCCAATCTCTACAGATGGAATGGCAGAAGAGCTGACGATGGATGGTGTTGCAGGCGAGCACACCCAGATCCCAAATGGCGCCAGAAGTCACGAACCTCTGTCTGTGGACTCTGTGGGCAGCAACCTTGCAGCAGAGACTGTGGGACATGGTGGTGTGATGCCCATGCATGGGAACGGCCTGGAGCTCCCTGTGGTCATGGAGACAGACCACATTGCAAGCCGGGTCAGCGGGATGTCTGACAGTGCCCTCAGTGACTCCATCCACACCGTGGCCATGAGCACCAACTCTGTAAGCGTGGCACTCTCTACCTCACACAACCTCGCCTCCCTAGAGTCCGTTTCCCTCCATGAAGTTGGCCTCAGCCTAGAACCTGTGGCTGTCTCCTCCATCACCCAGGAGGTTGCCATGGGGACGGGTCATGTAGATGTGTCTTCAGACAGTCTTTCTTTTGTACCACCTTCACTGCAAATGGAAGACTCCAATTCAAACAAGGAAAATATGGCAACCTTGTTTACAATTTGTGAGTGTGCTTAGCCTTTTTCTTTTGGAGATACTGATAGAAAGGGTCATCATTCTTAACAGGTTTAGTCTCAAGGTCAGGTGTTAATTAAGGGAGTATAGAAAGTAACTGGACTTTGAAACTTTTATTTGCCTATGTACTGTCCTTTGTGTTAATGTGGTGCCTTTTTCTCAAATAAGCCAAGTGATATATATAAATAAAAATTTAGTTATATTTAATTAAATTTTATTTTTCACATGGACTATCTGCTTTTAAATGATTTGACCTTTTAACTCTTATAGAGCAAATTTCAGCATCTTAGGACTCAGGAATTCCAACCATGTATATATTATTAAAGGCAGAAATGATTAATTTTCTAGTGACTTCAAAGGAACATAGTTAATTTTTATGATTTCTGAGTTTCACAAAACTGAATTATGGTGTATTATGTTGCTGTTTATAAAGTATATATCAAACCAAAGAAATAGATAGGAGCTTATTTTACTTTAGTTAATTTGTAAGAAAAATAGCTTTTAGCATTTGGAATTCTTAATACACTGAAAAATTCCTGATATCTCATCTTTTCCTTTTCCCAGGCATTTTGTCTTATTTAGCTGACAGACCACCTCCTCAGTATATTCACCCTAACTCCATAAATGTTGATGGTAACACAGCATTATCTATCGCCAATAACCCTTCAGCGCTAGATCCCTATCAGTCCAATGGAAATGTTGGATTAGAACCAGGCATTGTTTCAATAGACTCTCGCTCTGTGAACACACATGGCGCCCAGAGTCTTCATCCCGCTGATGGTCATGAGGTGGCCTTGGACACAACAATCACCATGGAGAACGTCTCTAGGGTCACCAGCCCAATCTCTACAGATGGAATGGCAGAAGAGCTGACGATGGATGGTGTTGCAGGCGAGCACACCCAGATCCCAAATGGCGCCAGAAGTCACGAACCTCTGTCTGTGGACTCTGTGGGCAGCAACCTTGCAGCAGAGACTGTGGGACATGGTGGTGTGATGCCCATGCATGGGAACGGCCTGGAGCTCCCTGTGGTCATGGAGACAGACCACATTGCAAGCCGGGTCAGCGGGATGTCTGACAGTGCCCTCAGTGACTCCATCCACACCGTGGCCATGAGCACCAACTCTGTAAGCGTGGCACTCTCTACCTCACACAACCTCGCCTCCCTAGAGTCCGTTTCCCTCCATGAAGTTGGCCTCAGCCTAGAACCTGTGGCTGTCTCCTCCATCACCCAGGAGGTTGCCATGGGGACGGGTCATGTAGATGTGTCTTCAGACAGTCTTTCTTTTGTACCACCTTCACTGCAAATGGAAGACTCCAATTCAAACAAGGAAAATATGGCAACCTTGTTTACAATTTGTGAGTGTGCTTAGCCTTTTTCTTTTGGAGATACTGATAGAAAGGGTCATCATTCTTAACAGGTTTAGTCTCAAGGTCAGGTGTTAATTAAGGGAGTATAGAAAGTAACTGGACTTTGAAACTTTTATTTGCCTATGTACTGTCCTTTGTGTTAATGTGGTGCCTTTTTCTCAAATAAGCCAAGTGATATATAGACATTCTGTTGGTTCTTAAAGCATCTTCCTGAAGTAAGGAAACAATCATTTCTCTATTTTACAGATAAGCTTAGCCTAGTAATACTTAAGGTATTTCCCAAGATTTCACGGAGTTATATAAGTAAATTTCAGTAAGGTGTTCTGTGTGACCTGCCATGTGCTTTTTCTACATAAGACAAATTTATTAGATCATGTGTAATTTTTCATCCCCCTGGAAAAATGTAAGTAGATACAAGTGAAATATTGTGGGTTTTTTTTTTTTTTTGCTCAGAATGCATATAAATTACCATAGTTTGGCATGTAAAAGTTCTTTTTATGGGGCAATAGTAACAAAATATAACTAACAAAATATAAAAATAGTTGAGTTGTTGGTGTCACTACTGCTTCATTCATGCAGTAAACATGTTGAGTTGGTGCTAGTAAGCACCAGCCTCTGTACTAGATGCAGCATAAAAAATAATCTGCAGTCTGAAGGGAAGCATAGGCCAGTGAACAGGCTATTGCGTTGTGGTATACTGAGTGGAAAGATGGGATTAAGTGTACGGTGCTAAAGGAGCCTGAGCCGGGGGAGCATCTCATCAGACCGTGGAAAGCACAGGGAAGACTACATATGAGTTAGACAGACCTGAAGAGTAGATATGTCCAAAGTGGAGAATCAGGAGGAGCAGCATCCCCCATGGGAACTGACACCTGTAGTTTGAAAGAATCGTGAGTGGTTCAGAATTGCTGAAGCATAAAACGGATGGGGAGGGACTTCCCTGGTGGTCCATTGGTTGCAACTCTTGAGCTTCCACTTCAGGGGGCGCAAGTTTGATCCCTGATCAGGGAGCTAGAATCCTACATGTGGTACAGTACAACCAAAAAAAGTACACCCCCCCCCCCAAAAAAAAAAAAGAAACAGGTGGGGAGAGGGTTATGTGATGAGAGAAGTAGGAGCCAGAACACAGAAGGTCTTCAAAGAGCACACAGGGATTTTGAGGAGGGAGGGTTGGGATAGGGGTTCTGCTGTGTGAGGGTAGCAGGCTTGTTAGTGGCAGAGAGGTAAAGATGGCGATGCCATAGTTTAAGTGTAAGGTCATGGTATTCCAATCTATAATAGAGATAATGATGGAAAAAGTGGAAAATATTAACAGAAAACTCAATAGATCTTGTTGATTGGGTGAAGTTGGAGGAGAGAAGGTTTAAGGAGAAATTACTAGTTTCTGGCTGGGAAACTAGGTGGGTTGTGACCATTCCTTAGGATAATGAATGATGGAGGTGGAGTGGATTTTTTTTTTTTTTTTCCTTTTGGACTGCGCTGGGTCTTTCTTGCTTTGTGAGGTCTTTCTTAGTTGTGGCCAGTGAAGGCTACTCTTGGTTGCAGTGTGTGGGCTACTCATTGTGGCTTCTCTTGTTGTGGAGCATGGGTCCTAGATCATGGGCCTCAGTAGTTGTGGCCCGTGGACTTAGTTGCTCCAAGGCATGTGGAATCTTCCCGGATCAAGGATCAAACCCATGTCCCCTGCACTGGCAGGCAGATTCCTATCCACCGGGCCACCAGCGAAGTCCCTTGTTTTGCTTTTGATGAGTGTAGGTGAGTCCAGTGTCAGACATGTTGATATCAGTGTTCAATGATACCTAGAGATGTCGAATGAGAACTTGAATCTGGAGCTCAGAGATCTATCTGGAAATATTCAGGAATCCTCAGCATTAAGGTGTTAATCATAGCCATGGAAGTGAGGTGAAATCCTATCCTAGTTAAGTGTGTGGAATGACAAGGCTAGGTATGCTAAGGTACAGTGGCAGAGGAAGAGCTTCTAAAGTAAGTTGAACAGGATGGTCAGAAAAGTAGGAGGAGGCTTCTGGTACTACTGAAGCCAAGCAGTGGGGTGACCTTTTGTGTTAACCCTTTAAAGTNATAATTCACTGGGTCTGTCTTACATTTGGTGACCCCTCAAACAGACTTTGACACTGGTATTTGTGAAAGATGATGCAGTGAAGAAGGCTCCCAGGAGTAACATGAAAGAGAATGTGAGCTGCAGGAAGGGGTCTAGTGAGAAGTTGATAAGTGACTCAGGTACAGTTGGGGCCTCAGCCCTTCCCACGGGGAGGTGTGGAGCTAAATGGCCCTTCCGAGTGGTCTCATATTAAGGCAAGGGGGCTAAGACCTTGTCCCCTCTTGTGGCAACTAGTCATTAAAAGTGGGTTACCCCCAGTCAAGGGGTGGTTGGTGAGGTAGCTTCCTTTGGCTGAAAGGGATTTCTTTTTTCAAATCTTACTGGTTTATTTTTGGCTGTTCTTGGTCTTTGTTGCTGGGCAGGCTTTCTATTGTTGAAGTGAAAGGGGGCTGCTCTTCAGCGTGGGGCATGTGGTGACTTCTCTTGTTGCGGAGCAGCAAGGCTTCAGTCGCTTCAGCACGTGGGCTCAGGAGTTGGGGTTTCCGGGCTCCAGAGCATGGGACTAAGTAGTTATGGTACATGGGCTTAGTTGCTCCTTGTCTTGTAAGAAGTTCCCTGACCAGGAATCGAACCCATGTCCTCTTCACTGACGGGTGGATTCTTAACCACTGAACCACCAGTGACGTCCTGAAAGCAATGTTTTGAGAGCAACTTGGCTCTGAGTGGTCAGTCACCAGGACTGCTGCGGTAGCAGGGAAATGAGTGTCTCAGTTGCTTGGCTGTCCTGCAGGCATTTTTTAGGTGATGCGTCATAGCATTAACTACAGGGTGATTGTGAGTATGAAATAAATTAACGTAGAAAATGCTTGGAACATTACCTGGTGTGAGGTAAGTGCTGAGTAAATGAGAGACATCATATATTGAGGGTTCACGTTAGCATTTTTTCAGCTTTCTGTAGCTACATACAATTCACAGCATGATTTTGCATGGATTTTGCTTCTTTATAAGAGGTGCTTATAGATGTGAGTGAAGTAGACATTCCATCTAAAATGCTTTCTATTAGGAAACTGAAGCTCAGAGCAGTTACATGACTGGTCTGGTTCCACTGCTAGCAGGAACCTGGTCCTTCCCTGTTTTCAGTTTCTTCCTCCCGATCTGCAACCACAGCTAATTTTTGAAGCCACAAGCACCCATGTGTAGCCTCAGTCTCACCAACCCCAATCTGAGCACAGACTGAAGGATTTACAATTCCCTAGCCTAACACCGGGATTCAGCATCCACGATCTTGTGGCTGACTTTGCCCTACCTTGAGCCATGATGACGTTGCAAAGTGGTCAATGGGGTGAACACATCTCACCCAGGGAGGCTGGCCAGCTTTCTCTAAGAGCCCTTGTGTGACAGCCCTTCCCTTAGCGGATTCCCTGTATAGTTGCCTATGTCTGGCCTCCCACTTCAAAGCCCTATTTTGTGTTGACTGATGGCAGAGAAAACTTTCAGGGCAAGAGTACACTAAATAAATACAGAAAATACTGGTATTTAAGCAAGAGTATTGTTTTTTTGTTTTAAGTTACCCAAAGTACTCAAATCCCCACAGCAACACATTTCCCCACCATAGGCAAACAAATCAACCATTTGCTTAGTGAGCATAACATCAGAGCAAAGAGAGTTGGTTGATCTTAAGAA